GTGAAATATATTTATGTTTGTGGTTGTAATGTGACAAAATATGGAAAAGTTCAAGGGGTATGAATACTTTTGCAAACCACTGTATGTCACTGCAAAAAGTTTCTTCCTGCTGGAGTCTACACTCTGGGCGGGGGGGGACCCTCAGATATCTGCCATCATTTGTCCACAAATCTGTCCTGGTTAAAGCTGCAGTAGGTAACTTTTATACAAACGTATTTTTTACATGTCCTGACAGAAGAATATGAGACAGATAATCTGAAAAAATAAAGATCCTGTGACTGCTCCCAGTGGTCCTACTGCCATCTGCAGAAACGCATTGCTCCAAGTCACAGTCATTGAGAGCCAGGAGGAATGTCTTACCAGGATCAATCACCAATCAAAATTGGGTAATTTCTGTCTGCATGCACAGACGAAGGGCACTGTGAACTCATTTCCCTGACAAATCGCATGCCCTCATTCAAGCTCAAGAAGATTGCCGGTGTGCTGCATGTGTGGTGCTGGAGGAGAAACAACCTGTGAAAGGAAAACACCCAATTTCTGAAAGTTCTGAATATACCATCACTGTTTATCCGCCGCCATTGGTGGCCCTGATGTTTAGCTCACCAGCCACGTAAAGGCAAGCTCCACTGTGAGGGAGGGAGGGCTGTATTGCAGCAAAGAGCAAGTAAAGAGGGACCTGTAAGGTGTGCTTGCTCTCAGGTAAAACCCACGGTTTTCTCAGAACTCTGTACTGCAGCTTTAAAGCTTCACAGTTTTTGTCAGATGAATTCCTCTTTACACAACATCTGTTTTATTTCCACCCATGAGCTTTTGGCCATTTGACTATTTTTATAAATGTGACAAGAAGGGGTGGAAAACTCAAAGCCAAAAACAAAATGATGCAATTTTCATCACGAAAACGCGACAATGAGAGCCGATTTCAGCAGTTTGGTAGAAGTATGTAGAAGCTTTTAATAGCTGGGTTTCAGTCCTGCGAATCTGTGGCACGATTTCAAATAGAGGGCAGGAAGTAAAATGTCTATGGAGAAAACCCTTGTGAATCTAAACTGTTGTGTGAACTACAACAATTTTGTGTTTTTTTTTCTATAAGTCAAATTTTAATATGTAGCCAGTGTTGTGGATATATTTATTTAACAAGAAACAGAAATATGTAATTCAAAGAATAACGGCACTTTGTAAAATGGTTTATTAACACAGAGCCATCAGGCAGTCTGTGTCAAAAAGTGCATCAACCTTTGCTCCCCTGAGGCAGTTAGAGGCCTACTATAAACACTGTTTAACAAACACCATTATGTCATCTTAATAAAGCATGATTTCATTCTAAGCGCTTTGTTCTCTGTGGATGGGTCTAAAATAAACGGAAAAATATTGGCAATTAAATGTGCTGAGATCAAATATTTGCACTTTTTTGCAGTTCAGACATTTGTTGTTGTTGTTTGTTTGAGTTTTTTTGGTAGTTATAACTAATTTTTTCTCAAGTGTTTCATTGCAAAAAGACAATAAGACAGTTTGAGCTGTAGTCACACGTATGTAGCCATGTTACCCTTTAACACACACTTCTTAATAGTTGACTGACCAAGATTAGGTTGATAATTTAAACCATGTTCTTTGACAAAAAGTAATTTCTTTATGAAAAGCAATGTCAACTTGTTCTTTATCTGACACAGTAAGAAGTTGTTAAATTCAAGGAAAGACATTATTGCACTTAAATTTTCACACTCTGAAGCCCTGCCATAAAGACCATTTTCCGCGAAAGAGTAATATAAAAAAAAAAAAAACAGAGAACAACACATTAAATGTGCATCAAAGATGAAGACATTTGTATGTTACCTACTGAAAAGCATCAGATCAAGAAAAGTTTTCATTAGGATGAAGATGGCTTGGTAGCCATTAGGTGGTCTCACCTGCTTGGTAGCTTGGCCTATCATGTGGGGTGGAGAGGAGGGAGTCAACAATGGACACCCTTTGCTGAAGCAGGGTAGATATCATCTCCAGCCCCTCTGGTCCCAGAAGTTCAAACAGCTAGAGGAATGTAAGAACAGAAAGGGTGTTACAATCACTAGCCACACACATCACAACTTATATACATATTCTATGGTTCGCAAACACCCCCAACACACTGTTAGTGCCAAGACTGAGCACCTGGTAATTACCATCCGCCTGGTACAGAATATGCTGCGCTGCTTAGCCTCCCAAACATAGCCACCTGGCACTTAGCGACTAACAGAAAAACAACAACAAATCCTGCTCCGAGCAGCAACACAAACTGACTGCACAGCAGAGAAAAAGCTGCACAATAAACATCACCGTGGCATGATGGTAAAAATGAAGACAGTTTATGTTTTCTAATTACAAGGCAGTAGCTGTAGAGAACAGTAGGATGTAATTGGTATCTAAAAAGCAATGCGAATATTTTTGCTTTCATTTTAAGCTTGGTTTCAGAACTAAGGCACAGGTTGCTCTTTCAGTCCATCTTTTTACAAGAAAGAAAAAAAATGGTCAGCACAGTGTAAAAAAATCTATTTAAAACAAATATCAGATACTGTGATTTCAAGTTCCTTTTATTTTGTATTCTAAACTTTTATCAGGCTCTGTGTATTTTATTAGATCCGAGCAGAGTGGATGTTTGGAGAAGATGGAAGGAGTGGGAAAACTGAGGAAGGTTTTACCTGCAAGATTTTTTTTGTTGTTGTTTTTGTTTTCTAAACTCTTGTGAATTCTGCCCTTGGATTCGACTGATTATTTGTTAGTTCCACAGGGAGAGAAGAGCAAAGCTTTTTCTTTACATGGATCATATGCAGTCGCTATCCTACAGGCAGGCCCAATTCTGAAGTATCAACTGTGTAATAACTCTGCATCTGCAAGGCTACAGGGCTGGAGTGGAAATGTGTTTGTCCTCTATATCTTATTTAACTTTACTTTCTTTTCTTTTTTCAGCTGCAATATGGAGAACTACATATTTTTGGAAATACAAGACCTACAAAGCAGGAGAAACCACCTAATGACCAGGACAAAGCTGTGGATGGATCAACATTGAAAAATGCACTTTTAAAATTTTTAGGTAATTAATAAACTTAACTAAAGAAGTTGCATTTCCTGTTTAATTGCAATGCGAATCAGAGAGATGAAAATCTTCCTGATGTTAATAGAAATGTTACAATTTAAACAAGCAAAGAAGAAGCTAATTTAGGCAATACTGTAGCTAAAAGCCAAAACTAATTAGCGAAACTGTAGCTTAAAAGCTAAAATGAGCAAAACAAATGCTAAAAAGCTAAATTTGACCAGTGATGATATATAGAGTCATGTCATTTTTCAAATGCAGGCTGACATGGTAGCACCGGCGTAATTTACACGGGGGATGGGGGGGTTATAACCCCCCCAATAATTTGATCCAGTCAATATAACCCCCCCAATAAAATTGCATCATTTAAGTATACATATATTACATCAATAATTGATTTTCTTTATTAGTTTACATTTTTTAGTAAAATTGCTGCATGTTTTAATACAACCACCCCCCGCCCCGACCCCCTCCCCTGCAA